TAGGAACATAACTAGGATGACTTAAGGGAGTTTATTTAGGATAGGTGAAGTAATGAACCCATCTAGACATTGCACAAGTAGCTCCTTAGGAAGTTCTAAGAAGGTGTTCTAAGATGTATGATTACAATTATGTCTTTGTGCGTGGCATGGTAGTATTTGTCTATTAGTCATGTTTATGTCATGTTATGATTCTATGTGATGTGGTATTATTCTTATATGCACTATGTGAGTCATAATTACTATATTATGAAGGTTGTTGACATGAATGAGGTTGTCTTCACTTAATATGTTGATGTATGAATTGAATCATAAGGTTTATGGTCTCATGAAGGGCATACTAAATATGTGTGGGGTTATGGGTCTTCACATGTACATTGCACTAGTAGACTAAGATTGAGATCATGAACAAGGTCTTATAATGATTTATGTGAATTGAAGTCACTATATGTGAAAATTGATGTAGCTTACCGTAAAACCAATAGAGCCTTGACTTAAATGTGTCTTTGATAGGTTATACTTGTATTATGGTATCTATTTTCTTGTATAGGTTGCATGTATGATTTTCCTTGTGTCCTTAAGGTTATGCATTGCACCAAGTATGACTAGAGGGTTACTTGGGAGGTTAATGAATAAAAGAAAAAAATGATCAGTGTAAAAAAGGAAATAGTCCACTGTAAAGTAACTCAAAAATGACTTAAATTTTTTTATGTTTTTTTTCTATGATGTTTGTCCTTTGAATATGTCTATATGAAGTATGTAAATAATATAAATTCTATTGTATCAAGGTTTTATGAAGATTTACTCAAAAAGGCATGATGTATGATTTCAAGAAAATGTCCTTTTTAAATGCATGTTTTTTGCATGGTTCACATACTTAGTGTATTCTTGTACTAATCCAATTCTTCTCTACTTTTTACACATAGTATATGTTATGGATGCTTAAAGGATGTTTATATGATTGATGAGCTTAATATGTGATTCCCAATCTCAAGGAAAGAAATTCTTAATTCCAAGGATATCCTAATGTTTAGTTACTGTAAAGTTATATGATTTATATAGTTATGTATTATACTGTAAGGGGTGTGTCGCTAAATTACTATAATGTTGTCGAGTCTAAGATAGCAACGTTACCTAGAGTCTAAGTATATAATATTATATTTTGTATATATGAAGTGAAGTTTCTAAGTATATGATGTTATATGAAAATTTTCATATTTTCCACTAAATTTACTATGACAATGTGATGACATATAACTATGGGCTTGTATAAGACCTCCGAGAGGTGAAGTACGCCATGTTACTTCTAGGGGGTGCTCCCCGAATATGATAATTAAGCTCAAAATACTACCATAATAGATCCACTACCATGGAAAGCATCTCAACATAAAAACCAAGCTAACTAAGGAAGGATACAACCCTCCTAACCACCATGCAACCAATCATGTAGATGCAATCTAACCATATGGGAGTTTGAATCCTCAACCCTAAGCTATCATGAGAAACTAATCTCAATTTATTCCATGAATTACACCTTCCATTCAAATCAAGTTACCATTGGGGTAGTATAGTATTTTCTCCTAAAGCTACCATGAAATGCTTTTTGCCAAACCAAGTCAAGATACCGAGAGGTTCAACACCTCAAGCTATCATGAGTTATCTAAACCCAAGCTTCCATGAGATTCAATATCTCAATCTATCATGAGAATTTCAAATCAGGCCTCATTGAGATTGTCTATCTCAAGCAACCTTTGAGATCTAGTATCTCAAGCTACCATGTCCTTGGTGTCGTCTCACCAAGTCTACTACACAAGAAGTGATCATACAACCCACCTTCAAGCTAACCTTAGTCTACCATACATTGATTAATGTCAGATTCTTAAATCAATCTAGGGTTCCTCTATGTGAGAACTTGATTGTCCTAATAATATTCATGTCTAGGTGTGAAAGAGAAAGAAAATATAATCACAATAATCCTTATCAAGAATTTACCCTCAAACCCCAAACTTCAATTGTCATAAGTCCTATAAACAATTACTATATTTAGTCCTTCATTATTCATACTCAATTGCATGCTAATCTATTAAATTAGATCATTAGAAGGTAATTATAGTCATTCGTGATCACCTAGGTTAAATTCCAACTCCCTAGGTCAAAAGATCATCCTTAAAAAATTAAACCTATTTCAATTCATATCTAGGTGATTCAATCATGATCCAATAGCATAAAATACGATTGCGTTGAGTAAACTAACATAAAAACTTCATCTAGCCTCTAATGGACTAAAATCACCATCATATACTTCAAGTTAAATAACCATAATTTACAATGAAAACTCCATGAAAAATAGTACATAAACATCACATGAGAATAAGTGAATGTTACCCACTCTATTGGGATCACAAACACACCTTACCCACAATGCAATCACAACCCTCACTTGTTTGGGGTTCTTTGGATTATCAATTGCAAGGAAATCAGGGGGACTTCATGAATAGAAGAATCCATGGATGAATAAGCTTCACATACCTTATATTATATCTTAAACCCAACAGTTTTTGTTCTTGTTCAATGGTGGTTTTGGAAGAATTTTGGTAGAGAAAGATTTTTATTTGAAGTCTAGGGTCTTTTTTGATATTGTGCTGCTAATATACTCCTCAAATACCTACAATAACCTCCAATAATCAATCCCTAGATTTATCAAAAGACCCCTGCAACTATTGGATATTTTAACAAGCTTACATTTGACTTAAAAACGACGCGACCAAATAAGGGCACTTACTGCGCGTCCTGGAATTATTTTCTATTCTTTGTTGAGGAAACTAGTTTGAGACAGAATTTTTTGCGATGTCCCCACGTTGCAGGGAAAAAACTGCCCCTTATGTGATGGCTCCGTTTCGCGTAGGCATTGCCATATCTAAGCTGTCCGGCAGCTTCACTGGCCTATGTTTGGGTCCTCCTCGGGGACCCTTTGGCTGGTCCCGGGGCCTCGTTTTGGAACGTTTTAATCCTTTACATGTAGGATATGCTTAGGACCTATATATACTCAATTTCACCATCAAACCACTCAACCAAAACTCCACTATAAAACACTATGTTACACTAGTTCGACCTTAACTAGTTTCCGTACGTTCTTGGACGTTTGACCTCCAAACACATACAAAATTTATATACTGACTTTAAACACTTTTATTAGTCAATTTAAGACCTTATAAGATAATGAAAAATATGTTAGGATCTAGATTAACCTATTCATTTTGGGGTTATAATTAATAGAGTCTAGACTCAGGCAGAAGTGTTGTAACAACACGTACTTTGGAAGGCCATGGGTTTGACATTAGAGTAAGTAATTATTATAACTCATCCATGTTTCATGGATTGGTTAACAAGCAATATTTTTAAAGACATCAATATTATATTTCAATGTCATAATCTTTGAAGAAGGTGAAATTCTTGTGTACAATACCTCAGTAAGATCATCCCAAGACCTAATAGAATCCCTCAATAGATCACTTAACCATTTGGCTGATTTTCCATCAAAGAGAAAGGGAACAGCCGGAGTCGGACTCACTCCTATGATATGTTTTTGAATGCAAATGGAGCACATACATCCACAAAGTTCTTGATATGATCATGGGGATCCTCATGATCTAGCTTTCAAATAGTTCATTCATTTGCAAGAGATGAAAAATGGTTCTAGTCACATGGAAGACAACATTTCCCATGACTTGATTTAAAAGAATAGCACCTACACCACCCAATTGAACTGCGCCAATGAAAACATTCATATTACCAACGTCAGTTTGTTGTCCAAGGTGTTTACCATTTTTACTGTACACACTCATTACGTCATCTAATAACAAACAACCAACAACAAACACAAAAAAGTTGTAAGTTGATTCAACTACAAACAAGATAATATGACAACTCTACTTCCATAAGAGAATTCTAAACACCATTTCGAAGAATGTCTAACCCCTTTCTTTTGAAATAATTTGAACCCGTTACCTAGATCAATTGGTTTCGTAGACTATCTTTTAAGTTAATTTATTAATAGGATTTCTAGTTTTCCTATAAATTAGGTGGCGATTCGCTTTTCCCTTTTACCCGTTTTTAAAATTCTGACACATTAAGTTCTTTTTTAATTGAATCACCTCGACGTTGCTTTTAATCAAAGAATGTGAACAACTAATACCACAACAAATAAAAAAATAATATTTCCTATTCTAGGCCTTGTTGGAACTCAAAAGTGCCAACATTTACCCCCTCTTATCAAACAAAAGCCATTAAATATGTATCTACATGCTTATAACCCAAAATTAATGAATTATAATACACGAAAAAATGGAAAAACTGGCATTCTCGGTCTGAACCTTTTTTTAACTTGAAAATATAGATGTTTGACCCTCCCAACACACCTACTAAATTAAATAGGTCATTACATATGCTCACAAACACTTCATCCATAAAACCTCCAGGATAAGATTTCATCCAAAATTAATGGATTATACCACAAGAATATTTCAAAATTCACTATTTCTTGCTCTAGGCCTCATTTGAATTGAAGAATTCAATTGTTTTCTCTTTTGAACCAACGCTCGCCATTAATAAAGTCCTAACCGACACCAATAAATTATTTTGGACGAAGTACTACACAGATCACTTATCACCCAAAATCCATGGACTAGAGTGCATGGAAACTAGAAAATCTATATTTATCATTTTAGTGATAATATGATTTTGAAAATGATGATATTTTCCCTCCCAAATAAACATGTTTCATTAAATAGGTCTTCAGGGATGCCTAAAAAGAACTTTGGTCAAAAACCCGCCAAGATAAATTTGTATTTCTCATTCAAGCCCTCATTTCAAATTGAAAATGTCGATATTTGTACCTCGGAACAATTGCATGACCTTAATAAGGATGTCATGGATGCCTACAAATAATATTGGTCAAAATACCACAATGATCAATTATGACTAAAATTCAATGGACTATGACGCACAAGAAAAAAATCGATATTTCTCGTTCCGACCTTGATTGAACTTCAAAAAGTTTTAACATTTTCCAATGCGAACTAATGTGTACACCATTATATACATGGATTCCCATAAAAGAATTTCGACAATAAAACAGTGTGATCAAACATCACCCAAAATTCATGGATTATAGCACATTTAAAATGGAAAATTTGGTCTCCCTTTTTGTGCTTCGTTTGAACTTGAAAATAACGATGTTTGGCCATCTGAAAAACATATGATAGAAATAATGTCATCACATAAGCCCACACGAAATTTCTCCCAAAATTCATCGGGATCATATATCACAAAAATCCATGAACTTTTAACACAAAAATAATAGATAAACCAATATATCCTATTTTGAACCTGATTTGAACTTGAAAATGTTGAAGTATGACCCACCAAAACAACGTACACTATTAAATAGGTCGTCATGAATGCCCACAAAAATACCATCCAATCACTAGGATCACATCATCCAAAATTCATGGACTATAGATAAAAAAAAATGGAAAATTCACTATTTCTCATTCGAGGCCTCATTTGAACCAAAAATTTCCACAGTTTACGCCTTCAAACCAACACGTGCAATTAATAAATTCTTAAATAACACCCGTTAAATATTTGAGCCAAAATACCGCATGGATCACATATCACCCAAAATTTGTTGACTAGATCACACGAAAAATGGAAAAATAGGTATTTCTCAATTCACAGCTAATTTAAATTTCAAAATGCCCACAAAACAATTCGGTCCAAATACCACTAGGATCACATAACAACGCAAATATACGGACTATGGCACATGAAAAATGGGAAAAATTGGTATTTCTTGTTCTATCCCTCCTTTGAACTTTAAAATACCGATGATAGCTCCTCAGGAACAATGCATCCTATTAATAAAGTTTACAAGGACGCCCAGAAAATATTTGGTCAAAGTACCTCAAGAACTACATATCATACAAAATTTATGGACTACAGCCTACCAATAATTAAAAAATAGAATTTCAGGTTTTAGGACCTCGTTTAACTCGAAAATGTTGTTGTTTGCCCCTCGGAACAAACAAATACTATTAATCGTTAGGGACATCCTCAAAAAAAATTGGCCAAGATAGTACTGAGATCACATACCACCCAAAATTAATGGATTATGCACAAGAAAAATTAAAAATCAATATTACTTGTTCTAGGCTTTCTTTTAGCTAAAAATCTCAATGTTTTTCTTCCGGACCAACCCACACAATTAATAAGGTCGTCACAGAAAACAACCAATCATTACGGAAAAATTGTTGGGTAGATCTCATATCACCAAAAATCCATGAATTATAGCACACAAAAAAATAGAAAAATTGGTAGTTCTCATTCCGGACCTCGTGAACTATATAAATCGATGTTCTCATAAAATATTTTTACAAAAATACTGTTAGGATCACATATCACCAAAAATTCATGTAATATTACACATGAAAAATGGAAAAATCAGAATTCTCCGTTTTGGATCGTTTGAACATTAAAATGTCAATGTTTTCCCCTCTATTTTTCTTCAACTTGAGTTTTTCCTAATAAAAAAATGATATATGTTTTCTGATTTTTTAGATCTTAGAGTTGCATGATCAGGAAATCTTTGTTATGAAAAATTTTATAACATTCTTTACACTGTTACTTTTTCTATTGATATGTAAAAAGCAACAACAACTAGAGAGAAATGAGGAATCAAGGTATAAGAACTCCATTGTTATGAATAATCTTTGGTCGATAACAATTTGTTAAAAAAATTAACAGAAGAGGGTCTAAAATAGCCTCAAAGTATTGGAAATGGTACAAAATACCCTCCATCCACCAATTGGCTCCAAAATGCCCTTCTCATCTACCTATTGGCTCCAAAATACCCTTGTCATCCACCTTTGGGTTCAAAATTGACCACTTATTTAACTATTTTAAAATTAAACTATTTAAATATTTTTTAAAATACTTGGCGCTCAACTATTGGTTATAATTTAATTTATTAATATAATTAAAAATCAACCCACTACCTACTCATTATTAACTAAACCCCACCGAATTAATAAACCAATTATAATATCAAAATCGTCATAAACACTACTAAAACACGACGAAATTATAGATTCCTGAAAATGACATCCAATATTATTCGACTCTGAACCAAAGCCCCAATTAAATTTAGGTTGAGCCCTTATTTAGGAGGACACTTTCAATAGGATTCTACTTCAAGATTGAAATCAAAATCTATGACTAAAGTTAAAGAAGTAGCACATCCGAATTAATTCATGCACTTTTTTTAAATATAATTTTATAAATATTTATGGTTTGTTTTAAAACCTTAATATATTATTTTTTAAAAATTTATCTACGAAGTAACATCACATAATTGAGACGAACGAATAATTAAGATGAACATAGTCAGACTTTTAAGTTTATCGTTAATTTTTATTTAGACACTTGAATGTATGATAATTTACTTCTATAGATATTTTCGCCTCAAATTTTCAAAAACTCTCATTGGAGGTAGCTTTCTTGTTGTTGCATTAGTAACGTGACGGGTTTATTATTTTGGTGGGATTTAATTAGTAATGGGTTGATAGTGAATTGATTTATAAATTATATTAATAAGTTAAATTATAACAAATAGTTGAGCGTAACGTATTTAAAAAAATATTTAAATAGTTTAAATCTAAAACCATTAAATAAGTGGTCAATTTTGAACCCAAAGGTGGATGACAAGGGTATTTTGGAGCCAATAGGTTGGTGGGGAGGGTATTTTGGAGCCAATAGGTGGATGGAGGGTAATTTTATATCATTTTCAGTACTTCGAGGGTATTTTAGGCCCTTTTCCGAAAAATTAAATAGAATAAAATGTAAAAAATGTTATAAAATTAATCCAAAAGAAAGTCAAGAAATATAGAAGATTAGAGCGATAGAAATATGGACTTTTTTTATTCTTCCAAGAATTCAAGTGTTTTCCTAATCTTCAATCGTATCAAATTTGAACTCTATTGATCATATTTATAGAATTGCATAAAGGCATAAAAAATATTTGTCATAAGCATGACATTAACCATGAAATTTATGAAGAGATTAGTCACATAAGTTATGAAAGAAAATCATGGGAAGGTTATAACGTTCTGGGAGTTATTTTACATTATGGAGGTGTGGCAGTTACTATAAATTTTTATTCTAAACATAAGATGATTGACATGACCAGAACGTCTCCTAATATATAGCATAAAAAAGTGCATGGTGACTTATATAAAGAAAAACAATAAAGTAGTAATATTTTTAATTGTAGTTATTTTCTTATGATTGCTTGCTCTTTCTTAAGTATTTGAGTCTTATGAATTGTTAAAGTTCAAAATCCTAAATTATTTAAAACTCACCACACATACATACACACGCACTCACGCGCGCATATATATATATATATGCTAAATCCTCTTCCACATACATCATATATATAAAGCTAGTAGACTTTCCTGTGGAATAATATCTAATTATAAAAAGATAAAAAATAAAAGAGTAAATTATTATTTATAAAAATGAATATTAAATAATTCCAACATTCAGATTGTTAGTCTTTACTATTTGTTTCAAGTTTACCGAGGACGTCATTCTAAAGATCAAATGACTTGAAGATTGACAATTATGGTAGAAATTTTGTAAATAGCTAAGTCTTATATTACTTTACGGGAAAGAGTCAACTTTTTTGGAGAAGAGATAGGGATGTGGATAGGGGTTATGTTAGTCATTTCGATTACTTTTCTGTGTATTATTATTATTATTATTAATAATAATAATAATAGTAGTAGTAGTAGTAGTAGTAGTAGTAGAAGTAGTAGTAATAGTATTAGCATTTTTATTGCAGTAATGTTTTTTACTTGTTAATTTTATTAATTGTTATTGTTCCTTCATTAGTTGTATCTATCTTCCTCCTTTACAATCATTATTTTTTCTTATTATTTTATATTCTTAGTTTGGTGTCGTATTATTCTTGCAATTTCTATTTTTATAAGTCGAGATTCTACTAAAAACAACCTACCTATCTCACAAAGGTAAAAATATTTGTTTAAATACATAATGCTATTCTCAGACTCCACTAATGAATTTTTACATAATATATTATTACCTAGCTAAAGTAAATATAAAAAGAGTCAACAACGACTTTAGCTAAATTTGAACCGGGGCCTTAAAGGTGGTTCCCCATGATTGTACCAACAACACCAGGGCCTCATACTTTTCTCATGGGTACACTGCTTATTATACATTAATTTTTATTACTTTTTCATGATATATACATATATAAACATGATTTTTTAAAGTTAAGGAGTGCAAGTGCACCCCTACTTGTAAGTGTGGGTCTACCTATGGATGCAGATTATTCCTATAGCATTAAATAAGTCATTTAATATATAGGTTTATATTTCTTAATATCATGATAATGTTTTTTTTCCTAACAAAGCTCTATGTAATTAAAAGGAATAATATTAAATTTTATGTTTATCTATTCCATGTATGCTTAAATACTAACCTATTTTAAGGTATGATAAACGTGATAAAAACTTCTATGATACAAAATCATTTGTCTGTAAAGTATTACTTTATCCATTTAAAGTTATTTATCATTGTTTCCGTTTTATATATTTCAAATCTAATATTTAAACCTTGAGACTACGCTGGAGCTGACTAGCGTTCTAATATCAACAAGAGGTAGCCATACATAAGAGGAGGCCTAAAAAGTCTAAAGGAACTTCATATGTATTTATTAAAACATAAATTTTTCTTTACACTTTTAACATGCAAATTAGAACTTCACATTTTTTTCGACAAGTAAGTTCTTTGATTTTTTTTTTGAATTATAAATGTTAGGTAACATCATTTCACTAAGACAATCATTATCTGAATTGTCAACATAATTCTATAAGTATTAAGTTAAATTTTTTTAATAATGATAAGAGTTAGAACCATAGAATTTTATCCAAAAATTGATAACTTGATCCTTACTTTAATATGCTTGTTGTCGTACTTGAAACGTTAAGGAAGCTAGCAGAAAAGAATTTGAAATTCACTATGTTCAACAGTTTTTAAACTAATAAGTTATATTTTTACCACCATTTGGTTCCAAAAAAAAATTGAGGCCATGAAAAATTTGGGGCTCCAACTCATATGCCTTATTATTTGTAACATAGAGTCGACTTGATTACAGGTTTGTTAGAACACAGTCACTAGCCAAAACTCTATATAGAAATATAGCAACTTCTATTTTATTCATCAAAAATCTAGTAAGATATTGTTTCTATCATTAAATCAAAAAACTCAAAATTTTAAATCCATCTATCGAAACCTTAAGCATTATAAGAAAAAGACTATTATATGAATTCAAATTACTCATATTTTTGTTGCTACCATTTGGGCCATTTGAGGAGGTAAACCTGCCAGCGTAGAAAATCTTCAATCTCCAAGCTTCCTCTTCTTCTTGTTGGCATGACTTCAATTTTAGTTGCACTTCAACGCATCCATCAATTCATTATCCTTCTTTGTTTCCACGTTCTGAAATTGATCTTCACCATAAACCTGAACTGCCAATGATATAGAGGAACACTTTAGTTGTTGTGTGAAAACTATTTGATTGCACTGAAAGAAGATATATACTCAGAGTGGGAAATGATCCCTTCCAGATATTGTGTTTGAACATATATCTTACTAAGGAAAAAAGAAGTTGAGATTTTGCAAGTGAAGAACAACAAGAAACAACTCATTGTAGAGTGTATACATACCTAACCTCTACCTCATATAGATCGTGATATACAAATACTTAAGTCAAGAACAACAACAATATATTAATCTTAAGACATTGCAAATAGTGGAATGTGGTGTACGGACTAGAGGGGCGATAAGCTTTTTATATTTAGTAAGGAATAACATGGAATCTGGAATAAATCGAAGTAAAATTAGAGCTTACCATGTGAACCATTATCCTCAATCTCGTTGAGTGCAGGCTTCAGCGATGTCTCATATGAAAAATCATTGGATGTTGTGGCCATTATCAGATCTACGAAGGGCCTGTGGATTTCAACATAATCTGCAAACCACAAAGTGCCTTTCTTTGTATATAGCAAAATATATGCATTTTCTGCCAAAACAAGATCTTCTTGTACATAATCAACCTATGAAAAAAGAAAAAAAAAGTTAGGTGTCGTGAACACACTGACTTTCACACAAATTAAGTAAATGATATTATTTTTCGTACCTTCTCATCGTTAAATTTGTACCATTCATTTGGAGCACAACGAATGAAGATGTAATAATGTCCCGAAGATATTGAAGGTCCAGAATGCACTATAACTGCGTAGAGATCGTATTTTATCTCATTCCTGTTCAGAAAAGGAAAATTTTTAAACGTCATGCAACTGATAACAAAAGATAATTTTTTATAAAAATCCAAAAGATACTCACATTATTGATGTTGTTTGTATAAAGAAGAATGTCTAATTCAAGAGGAAATGAAACATGATTTTCCACCTTCTGAGAAACTAAACCGTTATTTTTGAATCTCTTCAAATGTAGGGCAGCAACAGTAGGGGCCTGATCGACGAGGAGTTGCTTCTCAAATGGCCCATATGTCTTGCATCTTTTACAATAAAACTCAATTTTCTCAATTTTAGTGAAGGATTCAAATGCTGCTGGTACACTGTCAATGCCCTCAATTTCCAAGCTTATGTCGATTAGAGGCTCGCGTGTGATGGATGAATGGCCACAATTGCAACAACGGAGCTTTAAATTGAGAAAAACAAACTAACAATGTAAATAAAATGCTTACAAGTGTGTGTGGAGAGGAAACATAAACCTCATCCCTACCTTGGCAGGAAGAGATGATGTTATTGATAGATCCTCGGCTAAATTTCAACCATTACAAAATAGTTCAAAAAATGAAAACAATAGGAGAAAAGCAACTAAGAGAAAATAGAAAGAAGAAACATGAAAATTACCTTGCTCATAAAACGGCCACCAAAGGCCTCCTTCACTACGTTGTCTTTTGTCTCCAAATAGTAACAACAGGTTTCAAGTTGATTGAGAAAGCATTGTAAGAACTCATGTGCATCTTGTTGTTGGTTGAAATTGAAGTAACAAGAAAAATCTGATATTTCCACAAAGTTAAGAAACACAAAAAAATATATATATAAGGTAAATCGTGATAATTAAATGTTCTCTTGAAGGAAAACCAAAGTAAATATAAGAAGGAAGTACATAAATAACTAGGTCTTTAAATACTTTTCAATTTGCTGACAAGTTTCGTCGGCTTGAAAGAAAACCTCCCATAAAATATCGAAAAGTCTATAAGCTCACGGATGATGCACAGTACACAAAATCCGTCATAATAAGCTGCAACAAAAAATAATGACAAGCTAAGGTAAAAGACATTAAAAAGGATTCAAATAAAAGAAAAATTCTAAATTAATCCTTACTTTGACATGGAGATGCATGATCAATTGATCTAAGGAGCTGAAGAAATACAACGTTGTGTATAAAAGATTGTACAACCGCATTTACAAAGCATGTGTTTCCTAAGTTACACATGCCAATGCCCTAAAAATGACAATGAGTTAATAAATAAAATATAGACAAGAAACATATAGTAGAACTAGGAGGTTTATCCATAGACATATGTATGAAATTTTTACATCAACAACAAAAATGAAAAAACTCAATCTAATCGCACAAGGTAGTGTATACATAGACCTTATGAAAGTAAATAGGTCGTTTAGTAATGTATGATATTGGAAAGTATACTTGATATTAGTCATCCCTATGCTAAAATTAGTTAGACCATACCCTATCAATTTTACTACCTAGTAGATTTATTCAGATGTCATAAAAATAGGCTAAATTCTTAAATGTATCACTTGAAAGAGATCTAAAATGGTTATTCCACATTAGATTACTACATGATTAAGATGTCATAAATTTAGGCTAAAATCGTAAAGTAGATCACTTAAAAATAATTAACAGTTGGAAGCCCACACCATTTCATAGTAAATCGTATCACTTGAAAAGAGAATAACAGTAGTTATCATGTTTTATTTTTCTATGTAGTTGATTGATAAATATCTCTTATAAAAGGTTTAAAGTATAATTTGTATCACTTGGAACACCTTAAAAGTGGCCAGCCCACTCCATTACACTACACAATTGATGGTTTAAGATATTTTTAAAAACTTTATGGTAAAAGAATTTTATGTCATAAAAATACGCTAAAACTGTATAAGATTAAAGAGGTTAAAGTTGGAATCGTACCTTTATTTTAAAATTCTTATACTCAATAGGCTTAGTTTCTTTCTGAACTATCTTTTTGAAATTATCGGGATCAGTTGAGCAAATCGGCCCAATTAAAGAACTAGGTTCACCTTTTAAAGGAGACCATTCGTCCCCATCAGAATACGAATACCCACTACTATCTGAAGAAATTTTATAGTCAATTGAATCTGAATCAGCACCAGTGATCATTGTTGGAGTAGATCTGATCCAATCTGGTGACCCATCATAGAAACTTAAATCCATTTCTTTTTGTTCTTCTTCTTCAACTTCTATTTTAACAGATGAAAGATTGATATTTTTCTTCTCAATTTCATTATATTTTAAAGTTGGATGACTAGGTGAAGTAAGATTTTCTACAATGATTTTTCCCATTGCAATTTCAAGAAAGCAACCAAAAAAAGAGAGAAATGAAAGGACTATTTTTTTGAAGATTTTAAAGAAATGGCTAAGCATTGAAATGATGAGAAAAATAATAGGTACAACAAAGAGATTTTTTTGGAGATGAAATCACGAAAAACACAAATCTTGTGACTTTTTATAATCAATAAAGATTTGATTTTGAAGAAATTTGGAGATTTTAACAGGATGTTTTTTTTCTTTAGAGTTAGTGCAGAGAGATCTGAAAGGTTAAGTGTACTGAAATGGGAGGGATATATATATAGGGGTATGGGTGGAGATGGAGGGCGGCGAGAACTTCAATAGTGAATTTTCTAACAACTAAAGTGATGATTTTTAGTGTAACTGTCTTAATTAGTAGATTATCTGAATTTCATATTATAACGATAACTTAAATATTATTAATTATTTCATAAAGTCATATTTTTTTCTTGTATTATTAATATGAAGGTCATTTTTTCTTATTTATATCATTTCAAAAGTCAACATATTAAATATTCAGGCAGAATTTTGTTCAATTCATTAAATGTTTTGGTTTTCAGTCTACAATGCATTAATCAATTCCTCAACCTAATACTAACTTATAAATTGCAATATTATTTAGTAAAGAAATCTTGAGATAAATTGTAAATTTTCTCTTGCCAAATGCTTTGACATACTTATATATTTTTTAATGAAAGTATCGGTGCAAATATTTGCGGTAAATATTTTAATATTTGGATAAATTTATAACGTGTATCGCATCATAATTACTTTTTTTTAACATAGAATACTAATTGTTATCTCTAGTATTTAGATTAGCAAAGCAGAAAAAATAAAAGATTAAAAGAAAAAATAAAGAACTATCTGAGTTCACAGAACCCATTGTGTGTACTTAGAATATTTAATCCCCACACGTACCCAAGGTTGCTGATTATTTTCTCCCAAGATTAAATGGATCAACCATTAAAGAAGTAACAGTACCTCAAACTTCAATAATTTCAACAAAGTCGAAATGACAACAATGAATCACACACACGCGCACAATCGATCAATTTTATTTTGCAAGAAATGTATGCAAAAAAAAAGAACTCGATGTAGAAAAATGACACAAAGTCACTCTATTTATAGCCAACAAAAGGTTAATGTCACAACTCTTTACAAGAAGATAACCTTTAATAATGATCACAACACATTGGAAAAGGGACAACCTTCCAAACGGTCACGACCCCTCAACACTTTGGAAAAGGCAAAACCTTTCAAACAGTCACAATCCTATGTAAATGACACAACCTTTCATAAAGGTCACAACCCTCAGGCATAGTCACAACCCTTCAGGAGAGTCATAACCCTTCATTTCCTGTTCAGAACCGTCGAGATTTCGTGTATACCTAGGCAATCAGCCCTTGAATTGCTTTTGGTTCTCATTGTTTTGCTCATTTCAACCATAAGCACGTTTATAAGTGTGTAGAGAACTCACCTTACCAGATTCTTATTGAAGTGGCTGATACTTCACACTTACATAGGTGATTTTTCTATGTGTCATGTAGATACTCTATTTGGTATACCCTTTGTCAAACATACAAACCATATTACTAAACATTTTCTGATCATGAGAATGGACCATAAAAAAATGTTTTGTCAATATTGAACAATCATAAATGACTTTGTTTGAGAACCTTGAACCTAGATCTTAGGAACTCCAGTCTTCTATATAGAGTTACCGCCACAATGACTTGTCCTCGACCATAGTCCCATTCCCTTTAATGATCAATCAACCCCCTCTTTATTAAGGCCTTTTTAAGTGGATCCAACACATTATCCTTTGACTTTACTTAGTCAATTATGATAATTCTACTAGAGAGTATTTCTCTAACGATATTATGTCTTTGTCACATATGACTAGACTTTACGTTATACATCATGCTTCATTCTCTACCTATTGCAAATTAACTCTCACAATGTATGCATACTGGAGCTAAAGGTTGGCCAAAAATCTTTCAAGAAATTTTGAAGTCATTCAACTTATTCACCAGCTTTATCTAGAGTGATAAGTTAAAATTTCATAGTAGAGGGAGCGATACATTTCTGTTTGTAAGATTTCCAAGATATTGCTCCTCCACAAAGCGTAAATACACATCAACTTTTGGATTTTACTTCATTTGACCTGCTGATTAATTTGCATCACTATATTCTTCCAATACTATTGAGTATTAGTTATTATGCAAAACAATAGTTTTTAAATATATTTTAAATAATCCAAAAACTATTTTCATTGTCATCCAATTAGCTTGATTTAGATTACTCATGAACCGACTAAGTTTATTAATAGCACATGCTATAGTTGACCGCGTACACTTCATCATATATCATTCTTCTCAATACTCTAGCACAATTCAATTGTGAGTCACCTTCGCCTTCATTCTTTTGAAGTATCAATCTCACATTTATTGGAATCTTGACAATATTGAAATTTAAATGCTTGAACTTGTCAACTACATTTTCAATCAAATTAGTAACACCAATGTCTTTCATACTGAAGTTGCTTTCTAGCATATGTTTAGTAACATTTACATAAAAAATGTCTTTTCTGATGATCAACATGTCATCAATGTAAAAACAAACAATGACCTTGTGATTTGGAGTGTCTTTAATATAAAAATATTTAACAGATTCATTAATTTTGAATTCATTAGTCAACATAATTTGGTCAAACTTAGTATGTCATTATTAGGACGCTTGTTTATAGTCAAAAAGTGACTTAAAAAGTTCACAATCTTTCTTTTCTTTTACAGAACCACCAAACCCTCTACTATTTCATGTAAATTTCTTCCTTCAATTTTCCATTTAATAAAATGCTTTACATTTTGATGATTTTAAAGGGGATATACCGCAACTTACTCAATTATTATCTATATTGATTTAATCCTAGTTAGTGGAAATTATGTGCCAAACAAGGATATCTTATTTACTAAAGCATATGACAACAAGTCATGATTTGTATTTGTCAATAGTTTAATCAATTTTATTTTTCTTTTGTAGATCAACTTTGAACCCAAAAGTTTATTTCATAGAGGATGATAAACCCACACTCAAGTGTGGCTGCTCAAGATTGACTATATCTTACTATTTACAGCTTCTTTCCAAAGAGGATGATTTCACACCCCAAGCCTATACCATGTTCAGGACTGGAACTCGAAGACCATCGCTAGTCTCGAGTAGACCGTTGGCTTGACTTACTTAAATCAGTGGAAGACAATAATCAATAAACTTAACTAATCTGAAGGAATATTTTTAAAACTAAAACATTTAAACATGGCCAACTCTGGCAACCCAAGTCTTAAAAATAAGAGAAAATACCAAAAAGACTCAACGAACTAACATCTAACTATCTATATATGAAGCATATAAAACTGAGATGGATGTTGGAAAAAATCCAGAAAATGCCGCATAGATCACATATAACCCAAAACCAATGGACTATAGAACAAAAAACAGGAAAAAAAAAATAGTATTTCCTGTTCTAAGTCTTGCACACACCATTAAATATGTCGTACTAGAAGCCCCCAAAAAATTTTGGCCAAATTTTTTTTTGGATCATACATTATCAAAAATTTATGGACTAATACCACAAAAAGTGAAAAAAATTGATATTTCCTTTTCTAAGCCTCGTTTAAACTCAAAAATATCGACATTTACCCCTCTTATCAAGCATACGCCATTCATTATGTCATTATGCATATCACACAAAAATTTGTGCAAAAAAATCGTCTACGTAGCTTATAACCCAAAATTTATGAATTTAATACACGAAAAGATGAGAAATTGATATCCCCAATTCAAACCTCTTTTGAACTTGAAAATATAGATGTTTGACCCTCCCAACCAACCCACTAAATTAAATAAGTTATTACAGATGACCACAAACACTTTATCCATAGAACCTCCAGGAGAGATTTCATCCAAAATTTATGGATTGTACCTCAACAAAATTTGAAAATCCACTGTTTCTTGTTCTAGACCTCATTTGAACAAGAAAATTCCAAAGTTTGTTTTTTTTAACCAACACTCGTCATTAATAAAATCCTCATAGACACCCAGAAAATATTTTAGCCAAAGTACTACTCACATATTATCCAAAATTCATGGACTAAAGCACATAAAAACTAAAAAATGTGATATTTATCATTTCAGTTATAATCAAATTTTGAAAATGTTGATATTTTCCCTCCCAAATCAACACATTTCTTTAAATATGTCTTCAAAGATGCCCAGAAAGAATTTTGGGTAAAAGCCCGCCAAGATATGATATCACACAAAATTGATGGACTAAAGCATATGAAAGATGGAAAAAATTATATTTCTCATTCAAGCCCTCATTTGAAAAATATGTTAGAAATAATGTCGTCACGGACACCCAAAAAAAATTCTTCCAAAAATCGCTGGATCACATATCACTCAAAATCCATGAATAATAACAGAAAAATAATAGAGAAATTGATATTTCTGATATTTCCTATTTCGATCCTCATTTGAACTTGAAAATGTTGAAGTGTGACCCACCAAAAAAACATTTAAATAGGTCATCACGAATGCCCACAAAGAGTTCATCTAATCACTAGGATCACATATCACACAAAATTCATGGACTATAGATAACAAAAATGCAAAATTCGCTATTTCTCATTCAAGGACTCATTTGAACCAAAAATTTCCAAAATTTACTCCTTCGAACCAACACAAGAAATTAATAAATTCAGAACACATTAAATATTTCGGTCAAACTACCACATAGATCACATATTATCCAAAATTCATTTACTAGGGAACACGAAGAATGGAAAGATAGATATTTCTGAGTTCAGAACTAGTTTGAATTTCAAAATGCACACAAAACAATTTGGCCCAAATATGATTGGGATCACATGACACCGAAAATATATGGATTATGGCACAAAGGAAATGGGAAAATTGGTACTTCTTGTTCTATCTCTCAT